GCAATTTATGAAATTGGGGTTGGGATCAGGTCTTGTCCAAGGCCTTTTGGGTGGTTTGCAGAAGACAGGTTTACGGATGGTTTGCGTTCATACAAGTAAACAAAAGCTCATGCGCGCTTTCTAGTCTAAAGATCATGATAGACATTCTTTGGCTTGAGGGTGATCAGGTTGCGACGCTCACACTCAGACAACCCAGGCGAGGCGGATGACGTCTGATCGATTGTGGCAACTGTGAGAGAGGTGATCAGGTCTAGGGCTACAGTTATCTTAGGATTTCGGTGCCAAGACTCGAACACCCCGGGCGAGTTTCGCAGGTTTGACTCCATAACACACTATACCCTGTCATCACATAGCATTATATGCTATACATAGAGGCCTAGTATACTCCGAATACTATAGTTACTATAGCACGTCGCATGCTTCCTTGTCAAGGCCCGGAAGAGACATTGCCCTGCTTTTGCAATAAGGGTCTTGGAGGGCCATCGGGCCAGGGGATCAAAGGATCAAGAGAACTCCTTGCGATATCGTATCGCACACGGGGGAACAGACGGTATACCGAAAGCATATGAAGGCATACCAAACTATGTCTGGTATATCATTACCATAACATATCATAGTAGGTTACGCTATACGCTACTGAATTTTCCTTCGACATAGTGTTCTGACTAGCTTACCAATTCTTGTAATTATGTATGAAGTATATTGCTGTATATTCATGAGACCGAGGCACAGAAGTCTTGCCGCCTCCTGGTCAGTACTCTGTCAGACATGGGCCAGAGTTTGGGTTTCGGCTTTTGTTTTTGCCCACTACTTCGCAAGGACGAGCCCGCATAGCAAGTTAGGGACCTGCTCGCCGTGTTTGGGCTGTGGCACTACTCACCCTGCATGGATGTCACACTTTGAGTTTTTGCGACGTTTCAGGACAAGTCTGGGTAAGACCGGGTAAGACAAAGCGCCAAAACGGCGGCTGCCGGCTGCTCAGAAAGGATCTCAGCACAGGTCAACCCAAACATAAACTACCGAGTACTCACACTCAGGCTCTGCAGCACTCCGTCATGCAGGGCAAGGAACCTACGGGGTTTAGGATTTCGAAACTCACACTCGCACACTGCGGGCAAGGGCTCAGGGTAAAGGAACTGATTTCGCTGTGTGTGGTCCTGGTGCCCCCGCGAAGCAGCCACATGCAGTGGGCGGCTGCCGTCAGTTGCCTCGGCCGAGAAAGGTAAGGCTCCCTCAAAATGCCAGCAGCGTATCAATATCTGAAGAATATGTGGCCCAGTGTCCATGGCATTCGGCGAAGCGCGAAATGACAGCAAGGCCTGCAACACCTGACGCAGGGCTTGCGATGAAGGGCCAACCACCATGCTACTTACATCCAGACCTGCATCTACATGCTGTTCTTTCCCCAGAGCTTACCACCGGTGCCTGCAGGTGTCCGTTCAGGGATGCCAAATGCACAGCGCACAGGTCACCTCTGGCACGGGCATCAACTTGTCCGCGAGCAAGCAGCAGCCATCGCAGCATCGTCACATGACCTCCGGCTGCGGCTAAGTGCAGCGGCTGCACCTTCGAAGATGAGGCAGCCATGGTAGGTGAGAGATGGCTCACATGCATCTCCTGCAAGGATCGGGCCATGCTTGTGTGACCTGCAGCAGCGGCGACATGCATCAGGCTCAGCTCGCCCATCTCTAGCTGCGGATCGCTCCCAGAACCTCAGTCCACTCGCACTGGTCACTGGGACTCGACGGAAGAACTCAAAAGGACTCCTCGGTCTGCTCGGCTTCTCTCGGCTTCGGACCCACCAAGGCTGCAGCCAAGTAGTTTGCCATGGCCTCCCCTCTCGTGGAGCTTTCTGCTTCCGGCTCAGGGATCTCAATCTCGGCCCGGGCTTGCAAGAGGCCTTCTAGCACCGACCGGTGGCCACCGTAAGTTGCCCAATACAGCGCGGAGTGCCCTTCATCGTCTTTGGCATTGGCCTCTGCCCTCGCAGACAGAAGCTCAGAGAGGATGGGTAGCAAACCACCTCTGGCAGCCTCATGTGCCGGTTGAAGTCCTCGCTCATCTCTGGCTGTCACCAGCCGGCTGCGACGTTCCCTTTCCTGCTGCAAGATGAAGGCCACCACCTCAGTGTGACCGTTCTGCACTGCAAGATGCAGCGGCGTACCACCGTCGTCCTGCTTTGATTGCAAGTCTGCCCGCATTTGAAGAACATGGCCGAGAAGAGCCACGTCTCCCTGTCCGGCAGCACTGTGGATCGCCATGCTGCCAGCCGCACCACCTGATTGAGAAGATGATGCAGGTGCCGATTCAAGCAGCCGGTAGGCTACAGACGTAGCCTCCGAAGCCAGGGCAAGATGAAGTGGAAGGGAGCGGTTGCTGGAAAAGACCAGCGGGCTTGCACGCCGCTCCAAAAGAAGATCGACCATGGAAAGGTGCCCGCTCTCTGCGGCATGGTGCAATGCCGTGAAACCGAGAGCGTCTTGTGAGTCTATGTCGGCCTTCTGGAGCTGCGATTCCATGCTTGACAAGTCCCCTGATGCGGCGTGGGCATATAAATCGTCCGACAGCTCTCGGGCTAGCAAGTTGAAGGCGAATGAAACCCGAACTGATTCAGGTTGGGTTGCACTCTGGTTAAGCTCGGCGTCACATGCTTCCACGCTGTGCAGGGATGACGCCGGAAACAGCACCAAGGTGCCAGGGAGGGGGTCGATGCTGCAATCCTTCCTGGAGTTTGGGGGGCAGGCATGCCCTGGAAATTTCAGTCTGGCGATACAGCTTCTGACTGCACCCTGGTTCGGGAAGTAGACGGCAGAAATCAAAGGCACCGACTCCCCGTGGGCGCCATCAGCTGCATGCTGATGTGGCACATTGAGATCTTCTGGTCGGTTCACGTTTGCCCACAGCGCTGCTACGTGAACCTTTCTGGAGCCAGCACAGGCACGAACCGCTGTTCCAGCTTCCAAGAAAGTCGCAGCTGCTCTGATGACGCGATCATACAGACCTGAAAGGCTCTCGACATACCGCAGGCGCAGGTACTTGCTGTGCCATCCACCACGGTTGCTTCGAGACAATCCGGTGGGATCTGACTTCCACTGCTGCAGGGCAAACCCCCGGAGTTGAGTGTCCAAGGCTGATTCTTGGAAGCTCAGCTGGAGGATCGAAGGAGAAAGCCAGGAGGCGTTAGCCATCACCCCTAAGCCATTAATATGCTCCCACGTTTGCTTCGAGAAGTCCCAAACACTTTAGACTTTAGACTAAATCGATGACGACAACCAGCATGACTTGATTACTTTGTGCTCAGCTCCTATCGAGCCAATTGGCTTCAGCTTCTGGACAGTTCGTGGAGACTCCCGATCGGAAATGTTGGCCCCCAACTCGGAACTTCTCGTCTCTTTCTCCGATTTTACCGTGTGCACTGGCACACTACACGAGGCCGCCGAGGTCTTTGCAGCTCCTCGCTTGGCCTCGCAGCTTAGCAAATTTCTTTGGAATACTCAAAGGGTGCAAAAGTGCATGGGCTCACGACCTGACCTTCGTTCAAAAAGCCACACATCTCATGCCCCAGCTTGCATGTCCTCTCACAGGCTTTTTGGGTGCTCAGTGACTCGGGGAAACGATGCAAGCGAATTTCTCGCTGACTCTACGGCACTGACACCAAGGGAGCAGAAGGCTCTCTTCAGGTGCCCCTAGGACATTGACGGGATCTGATTCCGAGACCTGGGACCCGAAGATCAAGCCTACGAGACGATCCCAGGGAATTTCTCGAAACCTCTCAGAAAACATGAGCTGGATCTTCGGGAATCGTCATCTCGGATTAGAAATTTCCATTCACCTAACTACACGTAGCACGGCTCGTACTCGGAGGTCGGGCGTAGGAGTGGTTCACTGCCCACCTTTCACTTCTGAGCGGGGACGAGGTCGTTCAGTTTTCCTTGCACCAATACAGGCTACTGTAATTCGATTCTGTTCGAGCTGAGCAGATCACATGATAGCATCAACAAGTAGAAAAGTTTAAAAGAGACTACGGCGAACAGCACGCAAGGTAAGCATCTGTGCGTTTGAGCGTTTGACTGTTGCAAAAGCGCTAGTGCTACTTGTGCGCCAGCATGGGGTTCAGGAATTGGGGGTTCCTGAAACACCCCTGAATATAGTAATCCCCCTCTGCCAAATTCTGCGAGAGCCCCCGCACGCTATCCGAGAGGCTCATCACATGCTGGACTTGCGCCTTGATCTCATCCGTCTTACCTGAGCCAAGTGGCGCAGGGAGTGTTCTTATTGGGGCTGACTAGACTAAGTAGGATGCACTAGACTCTGTAGGATGCACTGAAAGGAATACCCTCGTGTGGGGGCCGTAAAAATGAGAATAGTTTCCTTGTTATAATTATAGTATATTATACCCCCAGACCCTCTTCTAATTATTACGGCCCTTACATTAGGTCGTTTTGCCACTTGCCTAGTTGTCCGTGCCGCTTCTGGGGCTCGCCGCTCACGCTCCAGATAAGTTCAGTGTCGAGGGCTTTGGGGGTTCACGATTTCGGGGGCAGGCATTGATGGGAGTTTCAAAAATCAACGGACCCCGATGTTGGCCCCGAATAGTAGGATCCTTCTTTTGGGAGGACCCCGAAATAAGTCACCCCAGAGCTTCAGAAAGTCCCACATCAGTACATATGTGTAAGCCTCACCCGTGCGGCATGTAGACCGATGTCACGCTAGGTCCTGGATTCTTCGACTTTCACTTTGCCTTTTGAAGGGTTATCCTCGCGGCTCTTTTGTATGCCTTCTGGCGATGCGTGAGCGTTTTGCGGCCTTTTCTGCACTCAAGCATACATATGGACAGACAGCAGCAACATGTACATGAGGTACAGCTGAACCGAGCCCAAGCTAGCCACTTCAGACCAGATATTTACTTTGCGAACACGGATGAATCGAAGGTGCTGGGACGGATTCTGCGTATCGGGAGGTCAGCAGTAATTTTTAAGACGAGGTGGCTGCGTATGTCTTCAAGTGGCTACCGGCTTGTTGCTGTTTGCGCATCCAGTCAAGGTACGGATGGTGCCAGCGTCCATCACAGCTCCAGCTCGCTCGCACCACTGCTCGCAAATCTCTCTGTGTTGTGTCTCAAGCATTGTGAGAGCCCTGAGGCCTCAAATGATCAAGCAGTGAGTGGACCCGCAGCAATATCAGCGCTTGATCAAGAAAACAGCCAGGCAGTCAAAATTCCGACTCAAACTACAAGGTCACTGAAGACCGTCTATGTCCCGTTCACGCGAGACTCAACGATTGCCACTGAATGGGGAACGGACTGCTGGATACAATCATCAGGACGGAGTGGGCAGCCAATTTTGACAAGAGGCAGTCGTTGATCTCGTGCTGCTTGGCCACATCGGCCTGTCCGGGATCGTGAGTCTGTCCAATGCAGCCGTGAGCCACGCAAGATGTTGAGCCTCCAGTCGAGTTTTCGTCACATCTTGCATTTGAAGCCTCGATTGGAGCTCCTTGCAGCTACCGGCACATCATCATGCTTATCCATGGACAGGCTTGTCTACGTGTGCTCAGCCCACATGGTCCTCAAGTTCAGCAGATCGCCTTGGAAAGCAGCAATCAGCTCCCCATGTCAAAACACCTTGAAAGCCGTGCAGAGGCCCTCACTTTTCACTGTCCGCGGCCTGCGGCTGACGCTACAGTACTGCACGAACTCCCATCGAATCCAGCCAGCCAGCCTTCACGTTCTTTCTGTCATCTGGCTCGAGCGGCACGTTGTTTGAATTGTCGATCGTTTGAAGTCTGGCTTTCCTGCCGGGTTCATGCTGCAGGAACTCACACAGAATGACAATGCCAGCGCACAAAACAAGACTTGCAAGGTTGACTCACGGACATTCTCCCCTGCCGAGACACAGCACATCGTTTGTAGCCGCCGCCACAGAATGCGCCTGGCTTCGGAGACAGTGCAGTGCCATGAAGCTGCTTCAAAAAATTCCCACCGCACCTCACGCAGCTTTTTCAGCTCCTCCTGGGACTGTCTGTACTTGTCCTTGAAGAATTCGCCTCGGCTCAAGTCCCTTCAACGGTGAATAATCCAAAGAAGAGGGGAGCGTTTCAGTAAGAGCTGAGAGCTGGGCCGGAACCCTGCATTTCGTTGATTTTGTGCAAAGCTTCATCTCGCTCTTGCTTGGCACCGCGTAGCTCCTGCATCAAACCACTTCTGCAGCTGAGCTCTCTACTTACATGTAGATACAACTACATGCATGGATCATCGGCATTACACCGGGAAGTGGCACACCAGTTAACTATTTCTTCAGGCAAAGCGAGATGGACTCAATCTCTAACTCTCTTTGCCCTCAACCCTCCGCATCAGCGTCGCAAAACGCAGAGTAAATGTTGAGACCGGCTTCCTGCCAACCTCCCCAGAGCAGAGCCAACATCATGATTACAAGAAGCTTCCTACTAATTTGGGCTACTCTGCCGGCCATCCAGGATGCTTCAGGGTCCTGGGTCTTTGCTTCGAGTTGCCTTTGTAGCTCCTGCCACATGCTGCCGACACAATCTAAGAAAGTACCATGAAAACTAATCAAAGAGAAACACAGACACACAAACATGCAAGTGTGCATGCATACCCCCTACAAAGACGCAGACATGAATGCGGGTATGCATAAAAATGTTTAAACACACAGGCACAGACATCCATCCATGCATACAGGCAGGTATGCAGACAAGCATGTACGTTACAAGCATGCACACAGACACGAATAACATGTGCAAACACCCATCCCTCCATCCATCCATCCGTCCATGCGGACATACATGCGGACATACACGCATGCATCCGTATCTGTGGTATGCGGTTTCCGTACCTGCTTCTCGTGATGCACACGTCTGTTGGTTAACTAGTAACTGGTCATTCATACATACGAACTAGCGCACTTCTGCCATAAAGGAAGTATTCGTGCGGCTATGCAGCCAACAGGAGCATTCATGGCCCCATCTCTTCCTGTGCATGTCACAGCCGCTGGCAACAGGCGCACCTTGACCTGTCTGGAGGCATCCCCAGTGCCATCAGATCGCTCTCTGACTTCTTTCGTCATTTGCGACATCACCTTTGAAGCGCAGGGATGCACGCCGGTGGACCTCTGTAGAGCACCTGCCTGCGTCATCTCTTCATTAAGCTTCTTTGCATCAGCGTATTTCTGGCACGGCGCATCACATCACACAATGCTCAAGTGTCGAGTGGATCGCAGACTCCAGCCTTCTCGAAGTGCAAAGCTTTCACTTTCCACTTCTCCTCGGAGCTTCGGGCATCATGCTACGTGATGCCAGCTCTGTCGTCTCCTGGTCCCCTTGGGCTTTGCACCCTTGCCGCTGATACCGGCAACTGAAACACAGTGACACATGTCTGCAACCTACATATTCATGTATATTCATCTGAACGGATGTGGCGGTGGCCGACCAACATGCGCGAACGAATTTGCTAGCTGAGGCGCAAGGTCTTGAGATTCCTGGGCTTTCCTCAGGTTGCAGAATGCTTTCGCAATGGGCTGCGCGCGTGGCTGCAGGTACACTTGTGCAGCCGGGATACAGGACCTCGTCGACAATACCACGCATTTTGCCGCGCTCGCTGTTCGCTTCGGCAAGCTCCACCTGCCATGCGGTTGGCCACATCTCCGTCGGTTGCGGGATGTCCGGAGCCGTTGAGGTTCAGGCCTTGAGCCTCTCGCACTCACCTCGCAGATGCCTCTGAGAAGACCTGAGCTGACTCTGGTGAGTAGAGGCACAGGGCACAGGCTCTAGGTCGCGAGAGGTCTTCGGAGCCCGGCTCGCTCTGTGATCGGCTTGCCTCTATCTCCTGCTGCAGTGCCTTCAGAAGCTTGGATGTTGAGCCGCAGAATGCCGTTGACATCTGGCAAAGCTAACGGCAAAGCACCTCAAGCTGGTCCTTGTACCCTCTCACCTGGTCGTCAGCTTCACCTTGTTTCAGAAGGCATGCTCTACGCATGCAAACAGATTGCTCTCAGCTGATTTCAGCTGAACTTGCCGGCACGGCGCGCTCCCGAACTGCACACGCGGAGGCGGAGGCCTGACAGCGATGTTCCAGACAGCACCAAAACACTTCGACGTCCGTTACATCCCCGCCCTTGCATGGCACCTGGAACTGATGGAGCTGCTGTTGGAGCAAGCGGCTCTCATCCTGCATCTGGCTGCAGCGCTGCTGAGATGCTCGGGCTTCCTCCTGCGCCTGGGCGCGGAAGTGCACACACTTCAGTGGCAGACCCAGGGCTGAGAATGGCTTCTGCTTGCGACTCCCGTACATCGCAGTTGTCAGATTCGGGGTTGTCGAACGGGACTCCCGAATCGTCGAAGGGGCCGGGATGACAGTGGCAAGACTGTCGAAGCAGTCCTGATAATGATGATGCTGGTAATGACAATGACTTCGTTATTCATCGTGATAGAGAAGAAGGTCATAACAACCACAGCAGAACCATAATGCCATACTTACTGCTGCTATTATTGCTACCATTTCTACTACTACTACTACTACTACTACTACTACTACTACTACTACTACTACTACTACTACTACTACTACTACTACTACTACTACTACTACTACTACTACTACTACTACTACTACTACTACTACTACTACTACTACTACTACTACTACTACTACTACTACTACTACTACTACTACTACTACTACTACTACTACTACTACTACTACTACTACTACTACTACTACTACTACTACTACTACTACTACTACTACTACTACTACTACTACCTACTACTACTACGTATGATTCATCTTGTTATTCGTATTTTTCTTCGTAGTACGACAGCGACCAGTGGCCTGAAGGAGCTGCTCCTCGGCCGTCGTGAGCCGCCTTAGGGGCGAAGGAGGAAGAGAAGGGGTCCCTTTAAGGCTTCCTACAAGGGCTCCGTCCTTCAAGGGATCCTTAAAGGGATCCTTTAACCTTCAAGGGTTCTTTTGGTGGATGTTCTAGAGTATGGTCCCATTTAAGGGCACTATAGGGCACTACAATGGGGGGCCCTATAAGGGCTCCTACATTGTTCCTGATGAGGTTCCTGTAGGGGTTCCTGTATGAAATATTTCTTGTGACCTCTTTTCTGTCGGCCAGTTTCCCTTTCGAGAGGGGTTTCAGCAAAGCATTCACGGCTGCACAGCTGGGCGAAACTAGGGTTTCAACTCACACAACTGCAGGATTAAAGTAAAGTTCATGGCTTATAGGGGACCTCGCGATAAGGATGTTGTGATTCCGGAACCGGCTAAGCCGTAACTTCACACTCCCAGGTTTGCAAGGCTACAGATGACCTTGTTTTGTTTTGGGTTCACAAAACCGGAACCATTGGACTGTCCACTCACATGCGCTGGACACAAGACCACCGGTTGCAGGCTACAGTGGTGTTGGAGTGTTGGGTGTTTCGACTTTGTCGAGGTTTGCAAGGAGGGCTTTGGCTTACGGTCTCTCCAATTCAGTGTTGCTACAGAATACCATGGGGCATAACATCGAAACACACTGTCTGTTGTTTGCATCCCCTTCTCGTTCTGCCGCCGAATCCCTGCGTTCCCATAGACAAAGTGAACCGAAAGCCCTAGCAACCCAAGCCCTAAATCCTAAACCCTCAACCCTTAACCCCCAAGTGGAGGTCCCCTAGTACCCCATCGAAGCCTCCGCAATTTGGGGAGCTCATCTTCGGCAGCCAGCAGCTGATCCTCCAAAAGTTTAAAAGGACGCTTCAGTCGCAAAACCGGAGGGCTCTAGCAAACTACGACAGATGTACTATGGACTATAGCAGACTGTAATGGGGAAATGCCATGCGTCTAGCATCATCCTTTATCTAACAATGCCAACAATCGCAATCGGCATCAGGGGTTACAAAAGCAACTGCCAGCGCACGTTGCTAAGCTCACTGCTCAAGAATTGCAAGCATATCGCTGCCATCTCAGTGACGAACCTCTTGGGGCACCGCACATGATGTCGAAGGCCTCTCCACCCCAATCATTATGAATCTTACTATTGCTATTATGACTGTTAGTGTTGTTGCTATTGTTATAAATTTACCGTACCCCGAATCCTGACCACAGCAAACCCAGGAGCCTGAAGCTCGCCGGCTCTTGCTGCTTGCCTCTTGGTACTTGAGATCTCCTGCTAGGCAGAGCAGGAAGCTCACCGATGAGATTGGGAATACAGCGCCTTGCTGGGGGGAGGCGCACTTCAGATTCAAAGTGCAGCACCCCCTCCTGTTCCAGCTGAATCTTCAGATCCTCCAGTTCGGCCTTGAGGCCACCTGAAATTGAGATTTAAGTCTCTTTAGGGCTCCTGGCATGGCCACCCTTACAGAAACAGATATAAGAAAAGACTAAACGAAAAAGATCTGCGCAGCTGCCCTGCCCCAACCCTCGGCCAGAGGGCTGCTGCTTCCAAGCAGTTGGGTCGACTCTTGCTGCTTGTCCTTCAGGTCCTCTTCCAAACCTCGCGTGCTCTAGATTCAGAACGAGAACGGAGAAGCTGAGGCCGTAGGCTTAAAGTCTAAAGGTCCGGTCCCAGGGGCTGGAAAGCCTGATGCTCAGCTCCACGTTCTCCTTCCTGACCCGTCGGAGCTCTTCTTCAAGCTCCAGTTCTCGGTCAGCGTTCCCGGCTCCAGGCAGCTGCTCAAGGTCCTTTGCCTCTGTCTGCCGCGTTGCCTCGTTGAACTGCTGCTTCAGCCTCTCCATCATCTCACGCTGCCCCAACATGCTCTTTCGCCCGTCTTCGTCAGGGAGGATGGAGGGCCGCATGCTCGGGTCTGAGACGTGGGAAGTCGACTTGGACTCAATCCGCGCCAGCAGCTCGCTGCGCAGTTGGTCCAGAGAGCTCGCTCGCTCGCTCCCGGCTTCCCGGCTGCTCCGGTCCATCTGCTGCTGCAGGGCCTCCAGCTGGTGCCGGCTCTGTTCCAGCTCAGCTTCCGCAGCCATCGCACGGGAGCGCAGTTGCTGTAGTTCGGCCCCTGCTTTATCCGAACCCTTTAGCTTGGCCGTCATGGCCTCTTCTCGCAGCTTAAGGGTATCTAAGTCTCCTTCCAGACGGATCTTCTCCACTTTGAGATCCCGGAGCTCGTTTCGGAGGGAGCCTTCGGCGGCTGCCCTTTGCTCCAATGCCTGGTTCTGGGACGTCAGGCGCTGCAGCTGGATTTGCAGGTCATCATTCGACGATTTCAAGACCTGTAACTCCACGCTCTGAGCTTCGAGTCGGGTCATTTTCTCTTCGACGCTTGCCAGCTGCAACTTCTTCTGGTCCAGCTGAGTCTCTGCACTGCTCTTGGCCCTCCGCAAAGACGAGCACTCCTCACGCAGCTGTGCGAGCTCATCTGCGATGGCAGTAAACTCGTCGGCGCTTTTGCAAGTCGTCATCTCCACTTCTAAACGGACTTTCTCGCGGCGGGCCTCTTGCAGCTCAGCTCGGAGAACATCAAAGTCTGCAGCACTGACTTCTGCCCCAGTCTCGGTGGATTTCGTGTCGAGCTGACCCTGGAGACGCGCGTTTTCTTTCTTGGACTCAAAGAGCTCCTTTCGGAGCTGTTCCAGCTGACCCGACTCGAGTTCTTTGGCTCTTGTCTGCTCAGTCTTGGCCTCCCTCATCCTCTCCTTTTCCCTCTCCTCCTCCCTCTGGGCACTCTCGCGCTCCGCGCGCTCCCGCTCTTCGTGCAGCTGCCTCTGCACAGCCTCAAGCGCCTTTGCCTTCTCTTGTGCAGCTTTCTTGGCCTCGTCGAAGGCTTGCTTCTTCTCTTCGTCCTCCCGCATTTTCTGAATACGATCAGCTGCGAGCTTACCCTTCAACCTCCCGATTTTTCGCCGGCACGACCACCCTCGCCAGATAGTCCTGGCTGGAACGGCTGGCCGAGAAACATGGATCCAACTACCATCAACTACCGTACCTACCTACTGTAAGCTACGCACGTCCAGCTCCAAATCAGATTCCTTTGCTGCCGAAGTTCTGAATCCGGACCGCCTGCCGTCTTCGCTTCACAAAGCCCGAACGTTGGGCCAGCATCCGGAGGCTGGCCTGCAAAGTAACCTGCGCAGTCAGTTCTGTGCAACAAGGAAGCCCTGTGATTGATTATTCGTATTACTATCGTCTTAACGATTAAAATTACATTTCTATTATTCACTAGTATTGTTATTATTATTGTTATTATTATTATTATTATTATTATTATTATTATTATTATTATGTTTCTTATGATTATTATTATTGTGTGTGTGCATGTGTCATTCTGCATGTCTTGCCAGTACGGGCCACTCGGTCACCCCACGGACAAAGCACAAGAAGCCGATCTCCGTGCGGCGCATCTCATGTGCAAGCTGCTCGCAATCCGACATTGGAGAAGCTCGAAGGTAGCACAGTGCAAAACGGGTCACACACACACACACAGAAACACAGAGGGGATGGATTCGCAGCTATCAGTGCATGGAAATGCCTTTCAGGATGCCCTATCGCTGCAGCTGAGCTGCGCTAGCTTTGCTCTTCTGCAGCTCTGCCAGATAGAGGGTCCGATCTCGCAGTGTCCGTAGAATCGCTTGCACTTGGAGAGTGGCAGCCTTCATTGCTCCTTAGCTTGCCAGTGTGCCTAGACCTAGACCCGTGCACCCACGGACCGATGCTACCTTCACGCAACCTAGCAGTGACATGTGTTCACATGAACAGGTATGGTTCCGCTTCAGAGGCTTTTTGATGGACAACTGGCTACTAGGAGCTTGCTTGCACAGGCTGTACCACGAAGAAGCTGTCGCACGCTATGTGCAGCAAAAGCACTATACCGACGTCTTGCGCGGAAGCCACGCCACCTTCTTTGTATTCGAAGCACGAATACCTGCCACAAAACCCGCACCACCGCGTTCTAGCGACATTCAGGGGTTGAAGTAGATTCCTCTTGATGTGTATGGACACATACGCACTCGCATACACGTTCGGTTTGCTTTATGCACATACATAAATACAACGCAAATGAAGACAATCATGCAAATCATGTGCATGCCTACATGACAGACAGAGGGACGGACGGACGGACGGCAGACAGCGGGCAGCGAACAGGGTTGAGTGTATGTCCATGCCGAGGATCCTGGCTACGTGCTTTCACTGCTCACCCTGGTCTCCAAACGGAGGCAGCAACATGTATGTATCGAAGTATCGTTGGGACCGAAGCCGGCGGCGGGGTGGGTGGGGTATGAAGGTAGGTAGGGTGCGTAGGGTAGGCATGCGGTGAGAACGCTGAGTGCCTGTATGTATGCCCGCAATAACAAACTTTGTGTCGGCAATGCAAGACATGTCTTGCAAACGCTTAACGGTGTGTTTCTGCTTAAGCATGTATGCACAAATGCATATTTGGATCTGCCTTGTTGTACAGCTTCGCCGAGTGCTCACAAATATGCTTTCACGTACGTGCGAACGAGTGAATGAATGAATTAAGGAAGGGACGAATGAATAAATATGTCCATGGTACTTCCTCCTTCTGTACGTTTTTCGTCGCATACATCTACAATCTACAGGCCTCTAGGCACGGAGAGACTGACAAGAGCGAGTGCGAGGAAAAAGATTGGCTATGCTTCCTTGGGAATCGTTATTGCTACGGGCGTGCTTTACGACTTTACGATACCCCAAACCATAGTCTCATTAGTCAGGCCCCAAAATTGAGAAGTCAGCCTTCACTGCTTCACCGATCGTCTTCTCCAGCCTCCCCTGCAGCTCCTCCTTCCTCGCAAGCATGGAGGGTTCACTTCATAAGATTGAACAAGCTATATGCAAGATTGCAATCCACGAAACCCCAACTTCTCCACTGAATCTTCACAGCCGAGTGCTGGGAATGTAAAGTCTACAGCGGCATTTGCAAAGCTCCGAGCAACTGGCTTGCATTCATGCCTTCTTGCGGCAAGGAGACAGGAAGACCTTGCTTCGTCCCACTTGCCAGGACTTGGCTTCCTTCGTGCTGCGAAGCTCCGATGAGGCGAAAGTTTAGTTTCGGCCAACATCTCTGAGGCTCGAGAGGTTGCTTCTGGGCCTCGAACTTTGCCTGACACAGCGTCTCGGGTGATGAGATATATGCTATGCACCGGTAGGGTCTGTAGAATTCACCTTGCCTCCACTTCCATCAGAATCTTTCGGCTCAGCTCCTTGTAGTCTGGATCCAAGCTTCTGCCCGTGGAGATGTGTGGACAAAGGATTCGGAACCTGCCAACAACGAGTCTTATTTGTGCGGGTCCTGGAAAACGGTGCATCCCAGCCTGTTGAAGAACTCTTTGAACGGCCGTCTGACAGAATACCCAGCCTGACAGCACAATTTGGGCACAGGTCGACCGCATCTGGAATGCTCTACTTTCCCCAAACGTTGTGCGAATTTCAAGGCTCGCTGAAAAATCAATGCAAGATGCCCGTCGGATGCGAATCGACTCCAGCATTCCGGCACATCGAAGCTGTCTCTGCACGTCGAGAGAATCCATCTCATGTGCCTGACAGGTGCTGTCGCTGTCGCTATGGCTTGGACCCTCTCCCCAGAAGTAGATGCCCCCGTTGCCTGCTTGTGCCCATTGGGCTTGATGCACCGGATGTAGCGTGGGTTGGTTCCTCCAGCGAAGGAAACGGAAAGGCAGATGAGACGACGAAAGCAGAAACTACTGGCCAAGGGGCGGTTCAGATCCTCGACCAGCTGATCAAGCTGCTGACGAAACATCATGCTAACCGTCACGTTCTGCCTAGGTGGCAGGCACGGATAACACCGATGCCTTCACCTCGTCCCCGCAGCATCATTTGACAAAACCACCCTGAATAACACCAGGATTACCCACATCGTTTGGTGTGCGCGAAATGATCCAAACACTTTGGACGTTGCCAAGTCTCCTCCCTAAGGCTTCCCAAAACAACCATGTTGAGATGTATATATTATATACATATACACATCTATGTACACCATATACACATTTAACAAACATATCAAACATATACCAAACATGTGTAGGAGTAAAACCCCTTTAAGCAGCTTCGGCCCTGCTGAGCGCCAGGCTTCGCTCGCTGGTTCGGCTCCGGCGCGCGCTTCGTGGGGGACGGCCCACCGCGGCCAGGTTGTCCCTGTGCTTGGAGGATCATGGGACTTAGTAACTAGGGTTATAAGTACCTTAAGTGGGGTTATAAGTAGTTATAATATAGTTACCCCCATTATAACCCTACTTACTAAGTGCCATGATCCTTTAAGTGCTAGCTCAAAGGATCACCTAATTGAGGGTTACTGTTTATTGGCTCTATTATAGCAACCCCTGTAGAACCCATATAGTGACCCCAGGGTTACTCTTATAGGCTCTTATAGCAACCCCTGTAGAACCCGTATGTTACTCTTATAGACCCTTATAGCAACCCCTGTAGAACCCGTACAGTAACCCTTAATTAGGTGATCGCTTACTGTCTGGTGCTTGGTAGGGAATGGGGGAATGGATCCCTATCGTCCCCATGGAATCCAATAAGAGTCCCCATTATCCATTCCCCCATTCCCTACTGAGCACCACGGAGTTAAAGGACCACCTAATTAAGGGCTAGTATACGGGTTCCAGCGGGTTACTATAAAGATTCTATAAGGGTTACTGTAAGGATCCATGAGAGGGGTTGAGGGTACTTAAAGGAGGTTCATGGGTAGTTATAAGTGGATTTATCAAGTTTTAAGTAGGGAAGGGATCTTTTCCCTCCTAGGGTTTCGGCGCTCACACTCGGACAATCCAGGCGAGGCATATGGTTCGGAGTCTGGCAAAGTGAAACGAACTGAGGAACTAGTCAAGATGAAGAGCAACAACAGCATATCAACAAATGAAGTGACTGTACTTCCGCAGACTGCTTGATACACGGGATCTTACGTAACTGTAGACAAGATATAACCAGTTAGACCCCGGTAGACTTCAGCTTCAAATCACCGAGAGAATATTGGGGTCTGATTAGAGGGATATAATTTACATAGCTTAATGAGCCGGGTTGACTCAGGAAAATGTGATCTGAACAAGTTGTTGTCACAACAACTGCACTACGTCAGCTTGTTACCGACTGATGAATTAGCTGAAGGTTGACTGTACACTTGAATGGTGACATGAGACATCACTAGCACTAGAGCTGGAGCTGACTTGACTTACACCTCCTTGTTTTCCCTCCTACCTAGCAAGGACGAAGCCCGCATTGAATTACACCTCCTAGGGTTTAGGGTTTAGGGTAGTGATAAGTGGAGTTGTAAGTTACCCCGTATGGCACAGTTGCCCTGCTTGTAAGCCCACTTCTAAGTATCCCTGAACCTCCAAGCGCGCTTGCTTGGACTAAGAATGAAGATTTGTTCACATGCATATGTGTGTAGCGTATGCATGTACACGTAATTTCTTAGCCACGTATGTAGACAGGTAGGCGGGCAGACAGGCAACGTACCGACGGACGGACTGATGGATATCTCCCTACTGATCTGTGTGAATTAATTCAAGTACATCCGATGACTTACATCCCACGTTATATTGATTTATGCTCTATTCTGTTCTGCGGCGCGACCATCATTGCGAGTTCGAATAGCTCATGGGAAAAGCCTAGATGAGGCGTTTTGGCCCTGTCTTTCGGTCACCCACCATGCAAATCGATTGTGGCTTGCCCCTGGTGCCTACTTCAGCGGGCTATGAGAAGAGTTTGTACGTCCTGAAGGGACTTGCCTCTTGAGAGTTGCAGAGATGCTTCCAAGTTTCGAAACGGTCTTCACGTGCAGCTTTCGCCGCAGATAGTAGCTAATCACTTGAACGATGTCTTTAATGTTCTAGAATAGAGCATGGCAGCAACTACCTGCTTTTGCACTGCTGCTGGCTGTGCCAACAGATTGTAGGCCTTCAGGGGATTACTCTTGGTAAGTTCAGTTGAGACTGATGTTGGTGTCCTTGCATTATTCAAGATCTGGTTCCCCACCTGCTGCATTAGTTCAAATTTCAATTTGACATGCGCAGGATGCATTTTGGCCAAGTCCGTTTTGTGTAGAATGTGATCTCTAACGTGTTCGTCTTGAAACAGACATGCAAAAACGGTATATCGGTATACCACTACATGTTGCCATGTGTGCAGCCCGCAAGCACCAGACTGGCTGAGCTGCAAGTGCCAGTGCCGCACTAACAGGCCGGGCTTAGGACCTAGGAACCTCCCAGACCGCTCCCACAGAGAATGCATGCCAAAGGCAATGACCATGTCAAACTCCAAACCTTCAGCCCCATTTACGCTTGCACGAAAACCCTGTGAGCAGATTCCGACCCTGAACCAGGACCCTGCGACCCTGCGAAGCTTGCGCCTGCATATCCGGCGTGAAGCGCGGGTCCGAGAAGAGCCTTCCACACCGGCTGGGGCTGGTGGGTTTGGAAGGCCACCGCGGAAGCTAGAATAAAGAAGCTGGGAGCAAATGCTCCCCCCAATAAGCCCGCAAACAGCAGAATCATGAAGCTTGCGGCCGAAATACGTGCAGCACATCGCCATTGAGGAAGATTTCAAGAGAGTGATGATGTCCTGAGAATATCGCGAGAAGTTCCCTAACTATGTAACGCATAGAACATGCCTTTCGAGTTGCATGTGCGCATACTTCTGCACATGTCTCTGTGTGTGTGTGTGTGTGTATGTATGTATGCGTGCATACACAACTGGAAATTCACACATGAATCCATATAAATATGAATATATACGTGTAAACCTAGAAGTACATAAAGATGTAAACATAAATACAAGTGTTGCGCCACTACAAACTGTACTAGATTAGCTTCGAAAGACTTACTGCAGGAAGCTGTAATTGCTTGTGTGCTTGTTGTAATTATGAAGGGCCAACTCAGTCATGTCGTCTGTCCGAGAACCTGTCAAAGCGGCGGTCCTAACCACCAGAGCTCCTGCTACCACGGAGTTCATACATGACATGTCATACTGCTATTCCTATGACACTTCCTGCAACTGTACACTACAATTGCTACTACCACCAACCCCATGCCCCACACCCAGCTGTTGTCAGCACAGACACTGCATGCAGCTTGTCGGTGTTCTTCCTTGCGCCGGGGATGCTCAACGCATTTCGGTATACTTGCACCTGCGCAACTGTGCCAGCCCAGGTGCTCCAGGAAGGACAGCACCTGAACAGCTCAAGCAGGCCGGTGAAATCTAGCGATTTCCAAGTGCTCTTGCATTTGCGACAGCATTCCGTGACCCTGCTCGTCAAGTGAGGTTGGCACATCGTACACCACCTCTCCGGCATAGTGCTGCACGGCGAAGTTGGTTGATGCAAACCGCGAGGGCTTGTAAACCTAGCAACTCCACAGCCACAGCTATGCAAGGAGACCAGGAGTCAACGACTGAGCACAGAACGACCTTGGAGTTCTTGAAGGTGTTGTAGATCTTGCCTGAAAAGACCCCGGAGAAAGCTGGCCGGTCGGAGCTTTGAGTGCGAATGGGAAAGTCACTTCAACGAACTGGTTGTACGCCGAGCATCTCAAGCATGTTTGATCTGTGGAGCTTGGCATAAGGCACTCGGAATCGAGAATGCAGAAAACGCCCAACCTCATGCACACGCATGTCAGCAACAAATAAGCGAGTACGCCTTCCCAGCCCCTCGCGCAGATGCGTGTCATCTGCTTTGAGTTTGGGAAGAGCACCATTAGCTGCTGAGAGCCTGACGGCCTCTTCTCCAAATTGTCGATAATTTCTTGGTTGTCTTGCCTTTGAGGAGGTGGAGGGCACGGAGGAGGGGCATAGAGGGATGTGGCTTGGGCGAAGCTCCGCGTCCGAGTCATTAGTATTATTAGTATTATTAGTATTATTAGTATTATTAATATCTACTGGTCCACCTACTTTCGCCACCCTCTAAAACAATCTTCAAGAAACCACTGCGATTACCTTTGGCTACAGTCGGGAATGGAAGAATGGGGGGTACAAATAAAAACTACTATTACTACCATTCTTCCATTCACTACTAACCAAAGGTAAGTGTAAGGCAACATCAAGTCACCCTGTGACCCCGAAACTCCACAGTCCGGCACATTGTCTACCAAGCTTCCACTGAATGTGGCTCCAAGAGATGCCTTCTTCAGCGTAGAGCCTCTGCTCCAAGGTGAACCTGTCAGCGTCCGACGGAGCATCTTACTCTTGGGGATTATGTGCCTTTTTGTGATCTTTTTCTACTGAGTTTAGGGCTCCGGGAGCTTCCAGGCCCCAAAAACCAAGTGGCATATGTGAGTTGAAGTGCTGCTGGAGCTTCTCGTTCGCGAAGTTGATGCACAACTGCCTCGGGGATGTATCAAAGCTTACCGTCCGTTTGGCATTACCCGTATCAGTGCCTGCCGTTGTCCGGTCTAGGTGGTGGCACTCCTACCTAATCTTAATCATCCCCTCACAACGGCCTGACGGCTGTTGGCACGCCCTTGCTTGTGTTTACATTATGTGTAGGACTGTAGCCGACTGTAGCCAGGCACGCATCCGTTGATATTTTTGTTTAGGAATGCAAAATCGTGCAAGACCTGAGCAGCAAGGCCAGCATGATTGATAGAACGACTATGACTACCGGCGGTGGCAACGATGGCTCAGCTTGCTGCGGTTGCGCTCACTGCAGGTATCATCCCGAAAATGCATTGTGTTTTCCGGCTGCTGCTGATACTCCTGCTACTCCCCCGGCAATGACGATGATGATGATGATGACAGTAGTGCTGCTAACAACGATACCAATGATTGCAGATCAGACTCTCAAACGAGTTCCACTCGAAGACTTCGAAGCCGTAGATATCCAGAATTCCAATCTTCTTTGTCGCATCCTGCCCACGCATCAGGGAAGCCGACTTAGTGGGGCGCCAGGCTGCCAGATCAAATTGGGTCCTTCTTTGGTCCACCTCCCTTGCCGGCTGTGCTTTGGTTAATTCGCCAGACCAGCCAGTCAAAGAGACGGGAATACCTCAGGTGGAGAAGCTCACCAAGCCATCACGCTCAAAAGCAAGGCGGGGGGCACATCCGCAAACAACCGCAGAACCAAAAATGCGGGGCGTGCGAGTCTGGTTTGTTGCGTTTGGAGTGCTCGGGGTAGTCGAGGACGTCACATGGGTTCATGAACGAGTGCTCAGGTCGGCCAAGCAGTGAGGAACACAGAGCTTCCGCGCTGCCCATGAAGCTGGATCAGATCGGGAACCGAGCCACGGAAACCGCTCCCAGGCAGCTCTTGTGTGCCGGACAACTTTCGACTCGCACACTCGTGTGAAGCAGGCAACGATTCCAGCAAGAAGGTCGGCTGACGTGGGAAACACTAGGCGAAGACGGAAGGAACAAACCTTAAATCAACAAGCACCTAGAATCCGCAGAACATGGCATCTCCTTCCATCTCGCAGAGTGCAGGGGCCACCATTTGTCCAGAACACCAACCAAACCACAATCCCGGAAACTTCAAGCACGAGACAAACGTCTTAACCCAAACCTTTTGTTCTAGTCTCGAAACCCTGAACCTCGCCCAGCTCAGCTGCAAATGTTTTGCCATGGCATGGCGAGTATTCGAAGAGCTGGCTGGATCCTCTGGCAAGTGATGTGTCGCGAGTCATAAAGATGTTGTGCATCACCACCATCATTCATCATCGTGATCAGCGGCAGCTGCTGCAGCAGCAAGGGAATGTTCAAAAAAGAAACGCTGATCATAACAACTACTGAAATCATCATATGATAGCCATAAAAGCACCATTTCAAGAATGACCATAACTAGTAGGAATCATCAACATCATCAGACGCTAAGCATTAGATGTGGAACAATCACGAAATACAAGCCATCGCAGCAGCACTAAGTCTAGGAGTACTCGCACAACAGTGGCAATGCTCTCTGCGTTTCATGTCCGCGGCCTGGGGCATGTTGATCATCTTCTTGCTAAAGGGATCCTCCATGGTTCGGTACCTCTGTGTCTGGCTCGTGCTTTCCAAGACATGCTGCAACAGAGACAAGCTGGAGGGCACTGGAATGTGTTGGTGAAATCTTCTTTCGAGACTTGCAGAAGCTCACACATTTTGGCAGTGAGGGCTGCATCGCATATTCGGCTGCCGTCATCCCCCTCCTGGCCATGGAGTAAGAACCGCATGTTGAGCTAGAGCCCAGCAGCCCATCTTCGAACTCACAACGGATCTCCTCGAACTGCATGTCTCCCAGGTGGACTACCTGCCGAAGTTTGTCGAAGTGTGCAAAGACTGCCCCGGGAGTTTCTTGATGATTATATTTCGAGCAAGGCACTGCAGCGACGAGCTGGAAAACGGAGTTCTTTTCTTCAGTGCTGAACCCAAGCCCATCCATGCACTCGACGGCTTCCTGCTCTTCACAATCCAACCGTTCGAAGGCGGGACACAAGATTCAAGCACGGAACGACCTCGAACATGCCAGCATCGTCAACTCCAGGTATGTCTGTGCACACCTCTCAAGCTTGGCGCGGCTTCCGGCTTCTTGCAGGAGTTCGACAACAACCCCGCGGCAAGCTCACGTTGCAGTTGCGAGGCAGATGTGTACGCGTGGTCATACGCGGGGCGAAGCCCCAGCATGGATCCGATGTCGGGGAGTGAGCGCTTCGCCCCAGCGCAGAGCTGGTAGAAAGCCTTGGAACCCCTCTGTAACACCGCGGCCAACTTGGGCAAGAGCTGAGCTGGGCACATGGTAGCCCCGCTCGTCCGGCTGCTGCTTTACCTGATTCTGTGGCATTGGAGCTGTTCACGCGACGTGGGAGCGAAAGCCGGGCTATGCTGGCTGGTGCAACTTAAGACTTAGGCAACCCAGGAGCAATGCGACTCTTCTCCAAAAGATAATTGGAAATCCTCGCGCTTTGCAGCTTGCCAGACGAATCGAACCTTGGCGCAAGACAGGCTCTCTGTGCCAGCTCGCTCCTTCGCTATGCAGCTGGCAAGCGTAGCGTTCTACCAGTAGGGTCTCAAGAAGACAAGCAACTCGATGTCGATGAACTTCCCAAAGCGAGAGGAGTTGTCGTTGCGGATGGTTTTCGCCTGCAGCTCTGAAGCTCTGATTATCTAATTAGCCCTCGAAACGCCAGGAATCTCGTATACCTAATGGGGGGAAGCCCGCTCTCTGAGTGGCAGACATTGCCGAAGGCTTCTAGGATGGGATTGGACCGGAGGACCTGTTCTTCGATACTCATCTTCTCGTGCACCGCCGAACCTTACGAAGAGCAGCGAGTAGTAGGGATGCCGGCGATGGTGATGGTCCAGTGATGGGGGTGAGGTGGAGGATGAAGCATTGATATATGCGCACGATGAGTCACAAGATTCCTCCTTGACACCTCTGTTGATAAACTACTGCCAAGATGCCGGATCGCTGGAGATTTGCAAAGTACCTGACAGACGCCACGGCACATAACCAAAGGAACGATCAGCTGGGGCCTGAGACAGATTGCCGAAATGGGCTTGCAGGCCCGGGCACGTCAGAATCCGCTTTGTGGCTTCCGTTTTGCCTGCGCCGCTTTCTCCAGAAATAATGATCGACCTTGTCATAGCATTACAAGTCAAGGAAAAAGCCTATCATGTCGCCCACGTGGCTCAACAGTGCAGCCATGGAGACTGGTTCCGGGCATCGCTCAGCATAGTGGTGTACGCTGCGGCTGCCACGGAAAACAAATGCGGCGGCAGATCTGATTCATCGCCCGATCCACCTTCGCTCATATTTACCGCTGCACCTCTGCCTTGTATTCAGCAAGACCTCCAAAGACTGCTTCGGCCTGCAGCAGCAGATCGATCCCGGTAGAATTTCTGCTTTGCTTCGGAATACAGGCCCGGGAGATTCTGGAACGGATTTACCTCACATGCCAAATGTGCTTCCGAAACGACTCGAGGCCAAAAGTACTGACACGAGCAGAGGCTGTAAGCTATGGCTATAATTCCAGATGGCTGAACACTGCGAAGTTTAGAGACGTGGGCGCGTCGTGCGTATCACTGACTCGCATGATGCAGCTCGCCAGCTACAAGTCAGTTCAAATGCATGGCAAGGTTGCTGAGATGAGAATTGGACCTTAAGTGTGGCAGATTAGAAGAAGCGGTTGGATCGCATGCCCAACCCCACTGTTTGGCCAGCCCGCACGCTGTAAGGACAGCACTGCCAATGCCTGTGTAGATTAAATCGTCGAAATATCTCTGACGGACATTGTGCAAGAGGGCCCCCTCGTTAAAATCGCCCAAGGACAACCTCAGCTCACATGCGCACCGGTACAGAACTGGTGAAGATAACGGGTTCATCGAATGACGTTGGTGCTGTTCCAGGTGATGGTACTCCCTCTTCAGCGGAGCAGCAGATCTTCCACCCCTTTCAAGCAATTCGGATCCACGGGTCTCGCCTTCTCTTGTGGCACTTCGAACTTGGACCCCTGGCAAACGAGAGCAAGTCAAGAATGCAGCTGCAGTTTCGACACGTCCGCGCCTGGTCATCGACCACGATGTAATTGCCTCGGCTCATCAGAAAAAGTTCAGATGACTGATGCCTGATCTCTGTTCTGCGCATACTCAAGACTATTATTCTAGTAGAAACGATAATTGTAAGAACAATAATAGTAGCAATAATATTATTAGTAAAAATATTGCTACTATTAGGCATATATATATATATATCATATAACAATAACTTACTGGGCCCGTAAACGCTCAACTTTACCTGTAGCTGCCGCTCAGGCGCCACTTGCCCCCACGGAGTCGACCCTGCCAGGAGCCCAGCCCTGACCAGTTCAATCGGATGAAGTGCATAAAGAGAGAGAGGCAGAGAGAGAGGCAGAGAGAGAGAGAGAGAGACAGGGAGAGACAGCAGGGAGGGAGGGAGGGAGGGAGAGAGAGAGAGAGCGAGGCGGATCGATCTCTCTCTTATCTTTCGCTCTGAAGGGCGAAACGGGAGGTCTTCCTCCCTGCACGGGTGCACACCCCGTATTGGAATGGAAAAGACCCCAGGACCCGGTCCATCATGACGATGTTGACCAGGAGAAAACCCTCTGACGAACAACACCAGTCATCAGACAACACCTACACGAGCAAAATCTTTCTGTTCTGTTCTCTCCCTCTCGCTCTCCCTCTCTCTCTGCCTATTACTACGACTACGACTACGACGACGACTGCTACTGCTACTGCTACTAAATTACTACCTCCACCACTACGACCACGACCACGACGACTACTACTGCTGCTATTGCTACCGCTACCAGACTGGCGCAGCTGCTTTCGTTATTTGCCATCCGAGCAGTAGCTACGAGCATCCACAGGCTGCTAACTGCTGTCATGCTACACCATATGTCTGTACTGCTGGTACCTGCCCGCCACCGACTACTAACTACTTGTTGCCTACTACAGACCCACGAGCACCGGCGAATTACCACTTCTGATGCGAGTAATGACATTCAGTTACTAGCACCGACGTTCACCAAGACCGGAAATTTTGCCTCCTTCTACTGGCACCGCCACCACCAGCGACCCTCCACACTACTAGCAGCATTGGTATTCACGACCCGGTGTAAACAAGAAATCAAGAGCGGCCTCCGTCGGGTGGTCTTCAATCCATACTCTTCCGCTTGCCTTCCCTCCAGCACCGAGCATCTCCATGGTGCCAGTCGCAAGGGATGATCCAGGGCTTCAAGCTGAAAGGGAAATCGTCTCTGTAGGAGACGAAGCTGTATAGAACTTCAGATAGGAGAGCGTTGCCATAGTATCGATGAGGCATGAATCAGGCATGAGGTGAAGAGCTAAACATGTCTTGACATTCTGGGGTGATCAGTCGGTGACCAACAGTCGTTTTGACGTTGGTAAGTTCCATGAAGTCCTGCACAGCGGGCCAAGTGCCAAAGCACGAGAAGCGAGTTGCATGCAAAGCATCTGCAACTTTGTCGTCCCACGTCGCTACAGTTACAGCCAGGGGAAGTGCTGCAAGTCCACACAAACGAGACAACCCGACTCGGCCAACCATGACAATTTTTGTCGACTTCTAAGATGGGACGCTTGCCTACCTACGAGCCCCGACTGCCCAGCGCTGTCTCGGGCTCCAGCCTGTCAGAGCACTTCGTGGGTGGTGCATGAGCCTTGGCATCTACCACATGACATTGGTCTCGGAAGCCTGCTAGACCGTGCACGGAGGAAGCACCGGCACCTAAAGACAGCCGACCCCGTGCTCTTGCCACAGCTACGTCGCATTCGACCACTTGTGATGCTATTGCTCTTGTTGTGACTCTTCTTCTAGCTGCTGAAGCTCTAGTCGGCGCAAGCGCCGAGACTGCGACAGCTGAGATAGCACACAGTGGGATCCCAACCATAATAAGCCCGTTCGGTACGACCGAAGACGACTCGCTTTTGCTACTCAGCGCGGTCATGCCGTGCTCACATCGTTGAAGCGGCGGGCCAGCTCTCTGCCGCTAGAGCTTGAGTTCCTTTTCCCAGGGTCCGGGTTCGTGATTTGTGTGTAGAGTAAAAGCTGGATTGAAGGATGGCTGGCCATCGCTCTTTCCTGAAGGCCGGGCTGGCAGCACCTGATCTTGCCTTACCAGGTACCAGCTCGACCCTAGATGAAAGAATGACCTTGGCTTCGCCCACTCAACGCATCTACTAAAGGCCCGCGTGCCGGCCCACAAACCAGTCCGCTTCGCGGAAGGAAGTCGGGGACTCAGAACCACTTGTTGAAAATTGGACCTGATCCCTGTGGTTATTCAAGCACGGACGACCGGCAAGTGAAACAGAATCCGCCGCAAGGCATACCGAAATGGCTGTCATTGAGACCTCCAAGATGTCAGCGGCGAATCTTGCCTGCTGCAACCTGGCTGAAGACGATCAAGCAAAGAATCGCAAAACTCCAGGCAAATTCATCTTGCCTGCTTCTTGCCCCGAGGCGGCTGTTGAAGCCATCTCGGACCGGTTGCTCAGAAGATGTGCCTCCTTAGTGTGCAAGGCACAACCTCCTTCAGCCAGAACCAAGCACGGCTTAGCCCCCTCAGTTCAGCCGTTTCAGGATGCTGGGGCACATGCCATGTCAACGGCAGCATGTTTGTGCTTCAGCTTCTCGAGCTCCAAACTGGCGGGGTGCCGCTGTAGCTCCATCCCTTCAAACCTATAAGCACAGCATGTGCTCAGGGCGACAGGCCCCCACCTGTCCGCGGCCCTTTGTCGCTCCTCCTGACGGTAAGCTGTGAATTGCCCATGTTCCGACTGCGGAGCAAGGAGTGTTTCGATTGGATGGCGACACTTGGCACCTGAAGCATCAAGTCGCGCACCTGCTGCAGGCCGGCAGAAAGCCGCAACAAACGGGACCGAGTATGGCAACACACTGACCATCGAATCCAGCTTTCAAATCTCTGAGGATCTACGCACGGCCCATGCACCTCTTCCGCATTGATGGCTGCCTGCTGCTTCTCCCAGATCTCGTTCAAGCCTGAGAGCTCGACGAAGCTTCCGCACACAATTTGACTTGCACCCTGCAGCGTTGGTACTCTAGTTGGAGCACGCCAACCGGAATGCAGCATGCAAGTGCTTCGTCCCAAGCCTAGATCAACCCTTATGCATCTGAGCCTTTCGGGTCGCGAGCTTAGGTGAGGAATTTTCTTCAAAGAGTCCGTGTCCAACAAGTCGCACCAGCTACGGCCTTACACATGACCTCAGCATGTGGATAAGGGTCCTACTTTGCAAAGGGCGGCCCAACTGCTTCGCTTCTGTCCTTCGCACTCCGCCCCTCTTCCACCAAACCGAAGAAGCAGCAGGTTGTTACTATAAGGGTTTCTACAATGAGGGGCATTGGGTTACTCAGACTCGACTATGACCCCAGTCAGTGTCATCTGTTCTGCTGGACCTGGTGGGCTGCGATTCCTCCAGATGTCGGGCAGGATGGGCGAAGGCAGGAAACGACGCCCGCGTGGGGCGTGGCAGTCCTATTCCGATTGCGCACTGCATCCTCAACTATCCTCCTGAGCCCTTAAACTCAACATCCTTGACCCTGTGAACCCCAAACTCGAAACCCTCAGCTCCAAGACCTGAAGACTGAAGATCAACTCACCCATTGACAGTAGACCCCAGGCCCAAACCCATGAACCCTAAACAAACACCATCAAAAACCCCAGTTCCAGGGATTCCAAAGCCCGAGGCTTCGCAGATCGCCACGGGCTGCTGTGAGCTGCACCTACCCAGTCCGGGGTGGCTTGCGGGGGCGGTTGAATGCTCTGGTGAAGGCTAATGGTGGTATGAGGGACGGTTCTGGGTTTACAGTCCGGCAGCAAACTGCTTCAACCTAAAAGTGAAGTGTCCCCAAGCAGAAGAGCCCGATGTAAACCCCATACCCTCAAACTCTGCACCCGAAGTCTTCTTGGAATCAGCATCTTGAAGAGGAAGCTCGAAAAGTGTCCACTCTCTCGGCTGTCTGGGACTCCCTTACGGCCCGAGAGCATGCGCATGTGGGTGGTGGGTGTGGGGGCGGTGCACTGATTTTGAAGATGCGCAAGATGGTAGAAAGGCCCTGAAGGGCTTTGAGTCACTGACCGACATTGGGAAGACATCCTCCGGGCTGTGCGTCATCGCTGCCGTTTGTTTGACAGGTCATCAAAGCAGTGACGACTCCTCTTGGTTGAGCTCCTGTCTGCACCGGCCTCCTGCAACAACTGTACAACTTCCGCGTGTCCCTGCTCAGAGGCGGATATCAATGCGGTGGCACCATCATTGTTGATTGAGTTCTTGTCGACGCCGGCGTCCAACAGCAAACGTACAACTTCCAAGTGACCTCGTTTGGAAGCGGAAAACAATGCAGCTTGACCATCCTTGTGCATCAAGTTCTGGCTGGCGCCGGCCTTCAGCAGCAAATGTAGAATGTCCACGTGGCCTTTTGCAGACGCGCGCAAGAACGCAGTGCTGCCAAAAACATCAATCAGGTTCATGTCGGCACCGGCCTCCAATAACAAACGCACAACTTCCAAGCGGCCTTGCTCAGAAGCGAACATCAATGCGGTGTGGCCGTCCTTGTTCCTGAGGTTCTGGTCGGCACCCGCCTCCACCAGCAAACGTGCAACTTCCAATTGACCCCATTGAGAAGCGAGCATCAGTGCGGTGTTGCCGGCATTGTTAGCGGAGTTCTTGTCAGCACCGGATTCCAGAAGCAAACGTGCGAGCTCAGCGTGACCCTCAAAAGAAGCTATCATCAGGGCTGTGTGGCCACATCTGTCGGCCAAAGTCTTGTCGGCACTGGCCTCCAACAGCAAACGTGCAACTTCAAAGTGGCCCCACTCAGAAGCTAACATCAGTGCAGTGGACCCGTCGTTGTTGATCGAGTTCTTGTCGACACCGGCGTCCAACAGCAAACGTACAACTTCCAAGTGGCCTCGTTTGGAAGCGGAAAACAATGCACGTTGGCCATCGTTATGCATCAAACTCTTCAAACTATCGCTGGCGCCGGCCTTCAGTAGCAAATGTAGAATGTCCACGTGGCCGTTTGCAGACGCGCGCAAGAACGCAGTGCTGCCAAAAACATTAGTCAGGTTCATGTCGGCACCGGCCTCCAATAACAAACGCACAACTTGCAAGTGGCCTTGCTCAGAAGCGAACATCAATGCAGTGTGGCCGTCCTTGTTCCTGAGGTTCTTGTCGGCACCCGCCTCCACCAGCAAACGTGCAACTTCCAAGTGGCCACATTGAGAAGCGAGCATCAATGCAGTGTGGCCGGAATTGTTAAGGGAGTTTTTGTCGGCACCGGCGTCCAGCAACAAGCGCAGAACTTCCAAGTGGCCCCGTTCTTGAGAAGCGGACATCAATGCAGTGTCGCCACAGTCGCTGACGCGGTTCGTATCTGCACCAGCTTCCAGCAGCAGCCGTACAGTGTCAACATGGCCGTTTTCAGCTGCAAGCTTCAGCGGACTGTGGCCAAGCACGTCGAAGACATCCGGGTGGCTGGGCTTCTGAAGCATGACCTCAACCTGCAGGCTCCCTAAAAGGAGAACAGAAAGACGAAACGTATCAAAATCGGAAAATCACGAAGAGGGACAGGCTACTATAGGGGTTGGCGCGTTGTCTCAGGATTGGGCACAACAAGAATCACAAGAAGCCTCGGATGTGGAACCGTTCGCCGCAGCAGCTAACAGCTGCTTTGCTTGCGTCTCGGAGGTCACAGTATATGCCAGCAGGACCAACTCCAGGTCCATGGGCGAGTCCAGGTGGGCGGAATCGTCTAAAGCAGCTCCGCCGAACAAAAGTCTTTGCCTGAATCGCGGAGGCATTCCATGCACCCGGTTCAATTGCTGCTTCAAGGCCCTCACGTTGTGCACCTCTGCCACAAGTACGCTCGCCACCTCTTGCCCTGAAAGCATCCTGACATGCAGCATTGCGGTATGACACTTGAGGGCGCAGGCTGCTGGGCGGCTGATAAATATTCGATAAATATTCTTGCAGTTCGGCGGTGCTTTTTGCCCCTGGCACGCAAGTTCTTTCGTTTCTCGCTGATGGCGCTGTGGTGAGCCTTGACTATGGTCATTATTTGCATTGCGATGGCTATCAGCTATCCTTGCCGCTGATGCTAGTTTGTTTCACTCTGGTTAGAACGACTTCTTCTCTCTCAGAAGACTGATGGAGATCATGCAAACCGCTGATGTGCAGGTAGGTCACAGCCAAGCCTAGCACAGAAATCCCAAACCCCGACCCCCAGCTGCGTGAGACTTCACGCGTCTTTCTGCACTTCTTTGGCTCTGGGTTTTAACCAAAGCGAGGGCCCTTGGACCAGGGGAACCCTAGGAAGTGTTAGCACTGCCCTGCCCACCTGAAGCATCTCTGTCTGCTGGATCCGATCCCGGATTGCATGCTCTGCAGCTTCTATTGATGCGGCGATCTTTCCAATGCGACCTCGGAGGGAAGAGCAGAAGGACTGCCCCAAAGCTTGAGACGGGGATGACGAAAGCTTTGGTGGCGATGAACATGAACACGATGATGACAAAAACGACGACGAGCAAGGGTAGCACCAGGGGTGTTGCAGTCATGATGGCGATAATCATAAATTTTACAGTGGTGGCTATGGTGATGCTGATGCTATTGCTGACCGCGACGACATATCACGACGAACACGGCGACTGCGATGACGAGGGTGTCGTCGAAGGTCTACCGCAGATGTCAGCGGTGGCGACGAAAACGACGACGGCAACGATGACGGACAGCAGCGACGACGGCTTCGACGACGCCAGCGAAGGCAACGGTGAAGACCACGAAGATGGCAGAGGCGGCGGCAACGGCACCGGCGCGACAGCGACGGAACGACGACGACGACGGCAACTAAAGAAACCCAGTGCTGCAAACAGCCACAGCTTCAAGCAGTTGGCACGGCACAAGCATTAGCAGGGATTGCACTTCTGGTACCAAGCGGAGGGACAACAATGGCAAGGTGTACCAGGAGTTCGTGCTACCCCGATGCACTCCCGCACACAGGACAAGGCAACGGTAATTGGGGCAAACAGCTGGTCAGCTGGGTGCTGGAAACATCAGACACAATGACAAAAGCTCACCACTTCGTTGGGAAATGCGGCGTCAAGCATCTCAGGCTCGTGCGATCATAGCTGGAGAGCACCTGCGTTGCTACGTGCTTGGCCCTCAGGCAGCAGCGACACCCCCATTACCTGCAGCAGCCTTGCCCTATAATCACTCAGCCGGCACTGCACAGAAGGCCGGGGTGGGCACGTGAAGGAGACCGACCGCACTGCTCATGGTTTGTGCCGAAGGTGGACGCGACTGCCTCGCTGGCTTCGCGACCTGCCGGCCAGGTGGAACTGTCGAACTGCCGGGGGTAATTCGGATACAGTGCTCGGCATCAAGCAGAACCAGACACAAAGTCACAATCCGAATCCGCGACAGAAAAAGAAGAGCGTGCTGGACTGGAGGCTTTTCACAGGACTATGCGGCTACTGGTAACCTGCCTGCAGATTGGAAGAATCGATCTCCGGAAGGCTGGCGCTGAGGGCCATCTCTAAGGATCCATCCAAGAAGGACTGAGACAAGGACGTCGCCAACTTCGATCTCAGGCGCTCCGAGTCAGTCTCTTCAGCTTCTACATTCGCCTCCAAGGCGGCTTCAAGCGATCCGTCGTTGAAGGCCGCTAGCATCTGGGCACCCACCTTCTCCCGCAGATCCTGGTTTGCAGCCGCCGCAACTGCCTTTGACTGCTCGGCGAGCACAGCCTCCAAGGAGCCATCAGCCACCGAGACCTCAAAGCGATGGGCCAGCTTTTGTCGCAGCATCTCGATGTCCACGTGTTCCTCGGGTGGTTGCTTCGGCTGGAGGTCCTGCTTCGGAACGATGCACGCCTGCAGAGCGGACTCCAAGGAGCCATCTGTCAAAGCGTCCTCCAGCTGAGAAGCGATACGTTGACGCAAATCCTCGTCGCAACCGCTTGGCCCGCAAGGGGCTGCCGCTGCATCCGCTGCAGGCTTCAGCTCGTCTTTGTCGTTGGCGAGGGGAGCCAAGGCCTTTTCTAAGGAGCCGTTGTTCAGAGAATCCAGGAGCTGATCGGCGAGCTTCGCACGTATTTCATCCACGTGCTTCTTGGGACGCTGAAATGCATCAAGCGCTGCCTGAAGCGATCCATCCAAGCTGGCAGCCAGCATCTTCTGCGCGATTCGCTCCTTGAGCTTCTCCAGCTCAAAAGCCTCCTCGTCTGCATCAGCCAAGGTGGCGACGTCACCCGACATGTCGGGCTGCTCCGCGACAATTGTCACGGCATCCTCACACAGTGTCACATGAACTTGCCTGTCGAGACTACCTCGTCGTGCGAACATGATGCAGCCTGCTGGTGCAAAGCCCATTCCTCGTCAGCGACGTGGAATGCAAACGCAGTCTTCAAGGCTCCCTCTAGAGAGCCATCGGACATTGCTTGCAGCATGGAGGACTGAAGCTGCAACCTTGGCAAGGAACAGAGACACCACTGGAGACACGAACAGACGAACAGACACTGTCAATGTCACAATGTGCCTGTTTTGGAGTCCTGGGCGGACTGATCTCCGAAATCGAGGCTGAGACCGAACTTCTTCGAAGTCGGTTTCTTCGGCGGCCAGCGCCTATCGGGGACAACACGGACGGCTCGCTCGGTCGGGCTCAGTCAGTCGTGAGATGTCGTGACGTTCTTCCCACGACTTCCGTTGCTGCGCGTTGGCCTGCTGCAAACCTCCTCGAACCAGGCTGGACTCCAGCTGAGCACGCAGGATGTCCTGTACCACGCTGCACTGTGGATGTGACAGTGCACCATACAGTGACTGCATTTTCTGTAGCTTACTTATCCCCAGCGGCCCAGCAGTCAGCAGGAGAGTGCCCAAAATTTTGAGAACGATGGAGTTGCGGGCGACGAGGAATATGATCAGCATGACAATGATGATGATGATGATGACGATAATCATGCTGATGATAGTGATGAATCCGCTGGCGTTGCTGGCGCTGCTGGCGCCGCTGCTGCTGCTGGTCAGACTTTGCTTCGCCAATGGAAAGACAATCAATTC